ACATACTTTTATTTTGTTCTTTTTAATTTTATTCATCTATTTATTAGTTTGTTTGGTTTTTTTGTTTTGTTTTTTGAGGCAGGGTTTCTTTGTGTAGCTCTGGAACTCGCTCTGTAGACCAAGCAGGCCTCCATTTCAAAGCCATCTGCCTGTCTTTGCCTCCCAAGTGCCGGGATTAAAGGCTTGGGCCCCAACCACCTGGCAAACATGGTTTTTATCCTCCCCAATCCCTTTTGAGACAGAGTCTTACTATGTAGCCTTGGTTGGCCCACAACTCACTGTGTGGAACAGACTGGCCTGAACCGACAGTGATCATCCTGCCTCTGCATCCATGTGCTGGGGTTAAAGGTTTGTGCCACCATAAAAACAAAACAAAATACATCTACTTCAAGACTAGCTCTAGACAATTGGTCGTAGCACACGCCATGGGAGCAAAGGCAGATGAACCTCTTGTGAGTTTGAGGCCCACCCAATCTATAAATCAAGTTCCAGGACAGCCAGAGCTGTTACACAGAGAAAACTTGTCTCAAACAAAACAAAACAAAACACAAATGTTCATTATATAGTGACTAAGGTTTTGTCTTTAAGAAGGGAATTTGGAAGTAGATATTGGACAACCAACAGAGCCACATCACAATTATTGACAAAGTTATACTCAATCCTCTTGTTCTCCAGACCAAAATTCATAAGCCAAGACAGAAGCCTTACACAATCTAACATTTGCTTCATTACTTCAAGTTTAGCATGTTCGCAATACCGGAAAAGTCTTCCTTAGTTCCCTTTGTGACTCCAAGTGTTGTAAAGACATCTATTCTTCCTGAAGTTTTATCTGGTCCACTGACATTTTCCAGCTTCCCTGGAGCCAAAAATGGCCCCATGTGACTAAGTGCTAGCCAATGCAAAGTGTCCAGAAATGATACAAACGGACTGGGGTCAGGCCCTCAAATGGCAGAGGTATGTCATCATTTTCGCATACTCTGTTCCCTGAAGTAAGGACTTATTTGGAGACTCATGGATTAAGGCAGCACCTTAGAGGGGTAGAGCAACAGATTAGGAGGAACTGGCACTTCTGTCATACTGGTTCAGGATTATACAAGCAAGAAATTAAAGTCCTTGTTTCTGCTGCTGCTGGAGCATGTTGTAGCAGTTTAACCCATTTCCCAGCTACTATGTCTTTTTCTTTCCAGACATGATTTCTCTGTGTAACAATCTTGGCTGTCCTAGAACTTGATTTATAGACCAGGCTGGCCTTAGACTCAGAGATCCGTCTGCCTCTGCCTTTTGAGTGCTGGGATTGTGTGCCCCCAGGCCTGACTTTATGTCTTTTTTTGTTTAACTAATTTTTTTTTTTACATTTTTTCCAGTGTAGTGTTGTGTTCTGCACACACTGGTGCTACAGCACACATGTGGAGGGCAGAGGACAGCTCTTCAGACTCTGCTCTCTCCTTCTAGCAAGTGGGTCCTGAGGATTGAATTCAATCATCAAGCTTGGCAGCAGTAAGTGCCATCATTGGCTGAGCCAACTCACTGGTCCGTGTTCTCTCTTTTCTGCTCTTTAGCTAAAAATGAAGACGTCAGAGGACTTCTATCTTAGACATAGATATTTCACATGTCAGATTTTTTTTTTGAGACAGGGTTTCTCTGTAGCTTTGGAGCCTGTCCAAGAACAGGCTCTGTAGGCCAGGTTGGTCTTGAACCCACAGAGATCCGCCTGTCTCTGCTTCCCAAGTGCTGGGACTAAAGGCAAGGACCAGAAATTTTTGACAAAGCCTTAAACAGCTGCTCAAACTAACACGAACAAAAGCATCTATTACAAAACAAAAGGAATTTTAAAAGGCCTAGTACTGGGCAGTGGTGTCACAAGGCTTTAATCCCAGCACTAGGGAGGTGGGGAGGCGGGTATCTCTGTGAGTGTGAAGCCAGCCTGGTCTACAGAGCTAGCTCCAGGACAGCTAGGGTTGTTAAACAGAGAGAAAAGAAAAGAAAGAAAAAAGGCATGGTGGCTTACACCTTTCCAGTATGAGGAAGGCAGAGGCAGGAGAATCTCAGAAAGATCAAGGTCAGGCTGGTTTATCCTCTGAAAACCCGTCTTTAAATTATTATGCTGAGCAGTGGGAGTGCACACTTTTAATCCTAGCACTTGGGAGGCAGAGACAGGAGGGTCTCTGTGAGTTTGAGGCCAGCCTGGTCTACGGAGCGAGTTCCAGTACACACTCCAAAGCTACAGAGAAAGCCTGTTTCAAAAGAAAAAATAAATAAATAAAAAAATAAGCAAAAATCCCCTGAAGAGTGGAGGTTGCAAAAATGGCTACTAGGTTACAAGTACTTGATGTTCTTCTAGAGGATCCAGAATTACAACCCCAGCACCCAAACTGAGTGACTCATAACTACATGTAACTCTTAACTACAGGGTCTAACAAATTCTTCTGGCCTCCAAAGGCACCTGCACACACATGGAATACTAAAGTGGGATCCATATCTGGATGCTGTGAATATGTTTTATTGCCATTGATTAATAAAGAAGTTGTTTCAGCAGTGGCTTAGCAGAATAAAGCCAGGTGGGAAATCTGAACAGAGATCGAGAGTAAGAGGAGGTGGAGTCGGAAAGATGCCATGTAGCTGCCAAAGGAGGAAGACGCCAGGAAACCTTACTGGTAGGCCACAGCCTCCTAGCAATTCATAGATTAATAGAAACGGGTTAATTTAAGGTATAAGAGCTAGCCAGGAAAATGCCTGAGCTTGTTGTATGTGTGTGTGTAATATATATATATATATATATAATTTTTGGTCTGGGCAGTTGGGAAATGAAGGAGCAGTCTCTGGTTACAGAATACACTCACACATACACATATAAAGAAAAAAACCTGGACAGAAAAGCAGGGGTGGGTCAATGGTGTAAGTGAAGAGTGTACTTTAGTTTCCTGGCTGCCCAGACCCAAAAAACTATATTAATTACAACACTGCTTGGCTGACGGCTCAGGCATATTTCTAGCTAGCTCTTACATCTTAAATTAACCCATTTCTTTTTTATTTTAGGTTTCTATTTTTTATATTTATTTATTTGCTTATTTGTTTGAGACAGGGTTTCCCTGTGTCCTAGAACTAGCTCTTGTAGACCAGGCTAGCTTCGAACTCACAGGGATTCCCCTGCCTCTGCCTCCCGAGTGCTGGAATTAAAGGTGTGCGCCACCACCCCCCAGCCTAATTTAGGTTTTTAAAGATTTATTTATTTTTTATACAGTGTTCTGCCTGCCTGTATGCTTGCACATGAGAAGAGGGCACCAGTTCTCATTACAGATGGTTGTGAGCCACCATATGGTTGCTGGAAATTGAACTCAGGACCCCTGAAAGAACAGCCAGTGCTCTTAACCTCAGAATCATCTTTCTAGCCCTAACCCATTTCTATTAATCTATGTATCACCATGAGACTGTAACCTACCGGTAGGGTAGACAGTGTCTTTCTCCTTCAGCAGCTACATGGTGTCTCCTTGACTTCACCTACTGTCTCTCTACATTCAGTTTAGTTTTTCCACCTAGCTCTATTCTGTCCTGCTATAGGCCAAAGAAACTTCTTTATTAACCAATGGTAATAAAACATAATCACAGCACACAGAGGGGAATCCCACATCAGGATGGGGTGCAATGAGATGACTCCATGGGTAAAGACACTGCTCAGCCTAAACACTTGAGTTTTAGCCCAAGGATCCATATGGTGGGAGGAGAGAACTGACTCCCCCAGTTTGTCCTCTGACCTCTACACTTGTGCTGTGATTTCTCCTCCCCACCTCTCTCTACAAGTGCCTATAATCACAGCATTGGAAGGCGGACAGAGACACAGATCCCAAGTTTGTTGGCCAGCAAGTCTGCCTAGCTGAAAGGGTTCTGTGACAGACCCTATCTCAAGACTATAGGCAGACAGCAAAAGAAGGTGACATCTGGCACCTTGCTCTGACTTCCACAAGGCATGTGTACCATCAGACACACACTGCAAGACAGGAACAAAGGAAAATACAGAGAAGGAGGGAGGGAGGGAGGGAGGGAGGGAGGGAGAGGGAGAGAGTGAGAGAGAGAGAGAGAGGTGAAACCAATAAAGTAATAGCCATTAGCAGCAGTAGCTTTGCTGGGGGCTGGAGACTCAGAGGAGATAAGAGTCAGATAATGACTTAAATCCTTGGTGTGAGCTGCAAGATCTTGCCTTTCTGTGGAGCTGGGTTCCAGTGTGGCAATATGGCAGACAGTCATCTCATAGGTTATATGTTACAGACCAACTTTATTATGAACACTGATTCTTTCGACCTTGATTCTAAACAGGAATCTGATTGACCATATGTAGCAGGTGCTCCAGATGCCCTATGTCATACCTGCCCATTTCTAAATTCAGCTTTTCCTGAAGCAGACAGTTCCTGTGAACCTTAGTGGCTTGCCTAGCCTCAGTATGCCGGTCTCAGGGCATTTTTGTAAGACCTCTCGAGCTCAATCAACAAGCATAAAGGTGGGGGGGGCACATGGGTTGGGAGATGACCCAAGTCATGGTGATTGGGTACAGTGAGAGCTGAGAATAGGGCTTCTGCCTGAGGTAGCCAGGAAAAACAGTCTTAATTTCTACTGGCCTTAGAGCTGTGAGGGTCCAAGAAATAGACACAATGAACACCAAAGTTGGAAGACGAGGGAAAGGTTGAGAGGGACAAACTGTCTTTATTTCACCTGTTTACCTGTTTCCATGTCTACGCCTATGGGCTTCTCCCAAGTAGGAGAAGCCATGTGAGAAGCAAAAGAACAAGGAACGTCCTAGTCTGTGGTTTCTAAGGGTGGTTACTAGTTTTATGACTTCCACACTTCATTCCAAAAGCATTCCAGAAACACTGAGAATGTACTAGGCTAATGTTTTTCAAAATGAAAATGAAATCTGTATTAACATTCCTTCAGGAGCTTCTCACTGAATCAGAAGTTCTAGGACCCAGGAATCTACTTTAAACTAGCTTTGTAGGTGATTAGGCTTCATAGGACATCTGAAACCACTGGATTCCAGGTAGTTAGGTGCTGGGACTCAACACAAAACGAGGTAGACCTGGTCCATGACCTCATATTTTAATATTTCTGTCTCGTAAGTCAGACGGTGGCTCTCTGAAGTTGTGGCATCAAACTCACAGAGATTCACCTGCATCTATCTGCCTTCCAAGTGTTGAGATTAAAGGCGTTCGTTATCTACCAAGCCAGTCCACCAGTCTGGTGACCAGCTGATTTCAATGAGCTGGAATGGAAGGAAGGCGATGACAAAGCAGGTGTGACTAGGTCTGACAAGGGCCAGAGATGTCTTAAAGGATGGACATCAAACCTAAAACCTGGAGAGGAATCCGCACCACAGAGAAACACAGTAGCTGTCACTTGCGATGGGCTTGAGAAATGGCCAGGGAAAAGGAACGCAGTGAGGAACAGACCAAAGACAGAACTGTCTCCAAACCACCCTTGTTCACCGATACGCCCATCTTCGCCTTCACTGATCATTTCGCTCATACCTAAGTAAAAACTCTTCTCGGAGTTACACCACCACCATGGACGCCTGATTCCAGGCGTGTCTCAACTCTTCTGGGATTCTCCGCCTGCAACTCACTGCCGCCCGGAACCGGCCCGCCCAACGCGATGACGTCAGTGCGCGCGCGCCCTCGGGAGGAGTAGGGGCTGCGGGCCGGCAGGCGCCCAGGCTACGGTAACCTGTGCTGGGCGGGGGAGAGGAAGGGGCGGGGCGGGGAGCCCCCCGGAGTTACTGGGTTGCGGACCGGACCCGGAGCGGCAGTCCTCGGCACGCTCAGCGCTCGCTTCTTCCCCGCGGCAGGCTCCGCACGCTTCGGCGATGGAGTTTCCGGACCTCGGGGCTCACTGTTCCGAGCCGAGCTGTCAGCGCTTGGGTGAGGGGCGGAGCGCGCGGGGGGCGGGGCCGGGCGGCTGGGGCTGGGGACTGCAGGTGGGGCGGGGAGGGTGGGCCCCTGGAGCTGGCAATGCCCGGAGGGCGGGGCTCGAAGTTGGGGGCGGAAGCTAGGGGGCGTGGTTAAAGAGATCGTGAACTGTGGAAGGGTTGCGGTGTGCGGCAAATAGGGCGGAGTTTTTCCTACCAGAGTAGCAACCTTTAGCTAGGGGAAAGGACAGTCAGGTTAGTTTACCTTTGAACTTGCAATCCGACCCATTCTTGTAGATTTTTTGCCACTCAAGTGCGATGCCTGCTCCGGCATCTTCTGTGCAGACCATGTGGCCTACGCCCAGCATCACTGTGGATCAGCTTACCAAAAGGTGAGGGGGCGGTCGTGAGGGTGAAAGCGTGTGGTTGTAAGGAGAGGAGAGCAGGAGAGCAGATGCTTTCAGGCATCTGTCTACCTTTTATTTCCACTCTTAGTTGTTTTGTTTCTAAACCTTGGTACTGGGAAACTTTTGTTTTCTAGTGTATTTGTGAGTGGTATATTCAGGTTCTTTAAGAGGTAGGTTGGCTGTCAGACTGACTCCTGCCCCTTGACTATAGGATATCCAAGTACCTGTGTGCCCCCTCTGTAATGTGCCTGTGCCGGTGGCCAGAGGGGAGCCTCCTGACCGGGCAGTGGGAGAGCACATTGACAGAGACTGCCGCTCTGATCCTGCACAGCAAAAACGCAAGGTAAATAATTAATATAGGGATTAGTGATAGACACCCCAGCTTCGAATACCGATGTCTGCAAACCTATAGGCTAGCTTCATGGAGCTAAAGGAGAAAAAGAGTTTCATAAATAACAAACGCTGCTTTGTCTCAGATCTTCACCAATAGGTGTGAACGTTCTGGCTGCCGGCAGAGGGAGATGATGAAACTGACCTGTGACCAATGTGGCCGAAACTTCTGCATCAAGCACCGTCACCCACTGGACCATGATTGCTCTGGCGAGGGTCATCTGACCAGCCGGGCAGGGTAATTGCCAAGTACTCTGCTTGCTTTGCTTCAGCCATGTCTGCCTTGACCAAAGGAATCTTTCTTTCTGCTTTTCCCCTTTTTGTTTCTGGATTGAGCCTACACGCTTGCACTGCACACACCAGGCAAGGACTCTACCACTGAGCCTTGGCCCTGTGCTGTTTGGGAGGTTTCACTTTTTAGCCCAAGCTGGCTTCAGACTTGTGGCCATCCTCCTGCCGCAGATGTCAAGTTCTAAATTATAGCATACATTACTTCAGGCTCTTTTTATTCCTTTGAGACAAGCAAGAGTCCACTAAGTTTCCCAGGCTGTCATTGAACTCACTCTGCCCTATACAGTTTTCAGTTTTCCTGTTTGAGCCTTCCAGGTAGGTGAAATTATAGACTACATACAAAATTAGACCCAATTTAACTCCTTTTCAAAGTATATGGTTTTGTAGAGTGCTTAGAGGAACTACCCTCTTGACTTCCAGAGCTCATCCTGGGAGGTGTTAGAATGTCTTCTTCCCACAGGCTTGCTGCTATCTCCAGAGCACAAGGTCTGGCTTCCACAAGCACTGTCCCCAGTCCAAGTCGAACCTTACCTTCCTCTTCCTCTCCCAGCAGGTAGGTCCACCTGTTTCTTCTCTCCTCCTTTTACCCTCTTTATATATCTAACCACAGTCTGATAATGTCTGCCGTAGAGCCACATCCCAGTTTCCACCCCGGACATCCCCTCCAGTGATTACTTTGCAGAACGGCATGGTGAGTCAGGAAAAGGATGGATAGACAGAAGTAAATCTGCGTGAAGTCCAAGGAAACTGGTGTTTTTTTTCTCCCTTTGCAGAGTGAGGATGAGGCTCTGCAACGTGCCCTGGAGCTGTCCCTCACAGAAGCTAAACCCCAGGTCCCAAGGTACCTACTCTGAATGAGGGCAAGATCTGTTTGGAAGGATGGAGGTGGGACCACTCCAACCCACTACACTAGCTAAAAACTTGGTTTCCAGATTAGATGAAATATCCCCAAAGGCCTTGATTTTCTCTCTACCAATGGCAACAACGTTAATATCCAAACCCTGTTATAGATTGAGATCTCACTCACGAGGTACTGAAACCAACACCATGAAACTGAACAGATTAAATTTCAGATCCTAGGTATTACTGTTGTAAACTTAAGCTCTTCCCTTCTCAGTTCTCAGGAGGAAGAAGACTTGGCACTAGCACAGGCACTGTCAGCCAGTGAGGCAGAATACCAACAGCAGCAGGTATGAGGACTGGGGAGAAGGGGTCCTGTGTTGGGGGTGAGAAGTTAGGGTTGCTCCCTCCCAGCTGTGGAGAGGATTGGCATGGTTGATTTCTTTGCTTCCCTCCAGTGATGCCAGCTCATGCTGAGCCCTGACACGGGGCCTGCCCTCTCCTGTCTGGACTTTACACTGTCTCCTCCTCTCCTCTCCTTGCTCCAGGCGCAGAGCCGTAGCTTGAAGCCGTCCAACTGCAGCCTGTGCTAGGGTCCTGGGCTTGGGGAGGGAGGCTCACCTGAGGACTGTGGCCCTCACATCTCCAGGGTACCCAGGGAAAGGAAGCACAGAGAAATCCGGATTGCAGAGACAAGCAGGAGTGACATGGAGGACACTCCATGGAGCCTGGGAAAGAAGTTTGTGTGGCCAAGCCTTTCAGACTTTGCTAGCCCTGCTGCTGCAGAAAGGGTGGCCAGGAAACCATTCTGTCTGGGACCTTGGTAGACTCCATCCCCAGACCCTTCATCATGTTGTCCTTCCCTCCCCCCCAGCCCCAGGCTGCCACATGTAGTGGACAGAGCAAGGCCTGGGAGAGTAAAGACGTTGGCAGTTAGTAATATGTCTGTGTGTTTCTTTTCCCCTCCAACCCAGAATAACCAGTGTTGTCAGGAATGCTCATTCAACTCAGGGGTGCAGGCCTAGTGATCACCCACACAAACCAAGCCACAGCCATCCTTGCGCAGTCCATTTATTTCCTTACCGTGCTTTCTGGAAGGCCCCTTCCCCTTACAATAGTGAGCACCAAACTCCTATAGCAGGATGAAATAGGCCACAGAGAGGGAACGCATCTTTTTCTCCTGAGTTAGCTTTTGGAAGGGAAGAGGTCACTTTTGTCACTATTCTGTATCCTGAGGTTTCGAGTCTTCAGAGACAGTTTCTTGTCCTTGCTGCTGCAGCTGCCACATCTCAGCATACACGCCACCTCGGGATAACAGAGCTTCGTGCCTGGGATGATAAAGCAAGCAAGCGTAAGCCCCACCCATGGGTTTCACCCCAATCTCAAAGAGAACAGAGGAAGTAAACGAGAGACGCCCTCCAGGAGCCTCCACCCTGTTCATCCATGGCTCACCTTCCTCTCTCTATGATGCGGCCGTCCTTGATGACAAGAATTTGGTCAGCATTGACCACAGTTGAGAGCCTGTGAGGTCAGACATCAGTTACCTACTACCCCCCATCCACAGTGGTCCACAGTGCCAGTCACCCGAGCCCTGCAGTCCTGTACCTGTGTGCTACCACAACAGTGGTGCGGTTGGTGCAGACTTTGGCCAGAGAGGCCTGGATGGCTCTCTCATTAGATGTATCCAGTGCTGATGTCGCCTACGGAAAGAGTGTGGGTGAGATGGTTATGCTACCCAGAGAACCAAGGAGAGGAGGATGTAGGAGTCTGGTGGAGGTCTCAAGGACAGTTTGGGGGTTCATGAACTGCTGCATAGGATTTTGGTAAAAATGTACTGGTGCTACCTTGGCAAAGTAGGGAACTGCTCAGGAAGTGGCTTAGGCATAGATGGGAGGATGACAGACAAGTGTTGGGGCCTCACCTCATCCAGCAGAATGATGTCTGGAGCCTTAAGAATGGTGCGGGCAATGGCCACTCGCTGCTTTTCACCACCACTTAGCTTCAGTCCCCGCTCGCCCACCTGTGTCTCGTACCCTGTGGATATAAGTACCTCCCTCGTGTCACATGTAAATACCCTTGGTTTCTACGGAAAGAAGGGGGGAGCTAAATTTGAGGGATTAACAGGATTTCCCTGGGTAGAGAGGAAGACCTCACCTTCGGGGAAAGCCAGGATGGCGTCATGAATGCCTGCAGCCTGCGCAGCAGCCTCCACCTCCCTGTCCCCAGCTGTGACACGACCATAGCGGATATTGTTGGCAATGGTGTCATTGAAGAGGACAGTGTCTTGGGGCACAACTCCAATGTGAGACCGGAGAGAGATCTGTGTCACCTGAGACCAAAAGACCAAAAATACCCTGTCCTGTCACTGGGGATAAGCTGTCTAGGGAAAGAGTCCCACCATGGCTACCACACATCCTAGCTGGGTGGGCAAATCACACAATCTCTCCTAATCCTCCCCAATCATGAACAGAAAACATGGCTTCTGCTTCTTCACATGCAGACCTCAGGTGGCACACTGCCCTTGTGATGACTTCCCTGGGTGCCTGTTGGTCACATGGCACTTAAGAAGGCCCAGGTTCTTATATTTTTGGAGGTCTAGTGAGTAGGTTTGGGGGCCTTGGCTAGGTTACTAAGCACCAACCCCCCTACCCCCCTTTCACTTGAAGACAGGGTCTGGGTAAGTTACTCAGGCTGGCCTTGAACTCCTTTGTAGCTCTGGCAGAGCTTGACCGAGCTATCCTCGGATCCCATCCTGGGATCACATCCCAGGATCCTGGGATCACAGACTAGCACCATCAGACCACACAAGGCCTAGCTTTTCTGCATTTCTACCCCTTGCTGTTCTTCCATTTATCCCGAGATCAGTCTTCTCCAAGGCAACCTCACCTGTGAAATGTCCTGTCCATCTATGCGGATGCAGCCAGAGTTGATGTCATAGAAGCGAAATAGCAGGCGTAAAATTGTGCTCTTTCCTGCCCCAGATGGCCCCACCTGTTACATTGGAAACACGGGAAGAAAATTCTCAGGTCCTCTGACTTTTAAGGCTCCCTCTTTAAAAGGCCACCAAGATCCAGGAAGGCTGCTACATTCAATGTTGTTGCCTGTTAACAACCAGGCTCTGAATGCCTAGTCTGGGTCATGATGAACTATCATCGGTACTGAATGAAATCAAGGAATTCGGGTCAAGTAGCTAGCTCTCCCCTCACCAGAGCCACTGTCTGTCCAGGCATCACAGTGAAGGACACATCCTGCAAGGTCTCTCGTCTGCAAGAAAGAATGGCGGATTCAGTGGTGGATCTATTGAATCATACACTAGTAGACAGATTCTCATTCCCAGAGCTACTGATGATCCTTACCCTCTTCTGTCTAGGAGCTCTCTGCCCCCTATACTGCATTGGTGGATTGCAAAGCTGGGGTTCAGAGCAGGATAAAGGCAGGAAGGCGGTGTACAAGTAGATAAGGGGGAAAGAAAAAAAAGACAGGGCTCACCCATCGGCGTAGCTGAAGTGTACATTTTCAAACTCAATCTGACCCTTATGAAAATGAAGGGGCCCTGCTCCAGGAAGATCCTTCACCTGAAGAACACAGCCAACATGTGCTATCATCACTGGCCTGGGATTCCCAGACACAAGAACTGGTCCCCTGTCCTATCTTACCCCCCCCCCCCACTCACTTCTGTTTCTTCTTTCAGCAAGTCAAACATGTTCTCCATGTCAATGAAGTTAGTCTGGATCATCCTGCAAAAAGAATGAAGGCTGGGGCTCCCTCAAGAACTGAGAAGGAGCAGTGCACCCTGAGCAGACGAGGGACAGAGGTCAGGTTACCTGTAGTAGGTGCCAAACCAGTTGAGAGGCATGTACAGTTGAGTGATGTAAGTGCCAAAGAGCACAAAGTCCCCAACCTGTAAGAGACCCAGAGAAGCAAGTATGTCACAGGGAGCCTGCAGTCACTTTGTCTATATCCCATCCAGGAGCCTAGTGGCTCACACATGGCCCATGGGGCCCCTCTTTGTCCTATACCTTTGCTCTCATGAATCTGCCTCACCTGCAGCTTCTGCTCACTGACAAAGTATGCACAAAGCAAGGAGCCAGCAAGGAGCCCAAGCCCAATCACCATGTTCTGGGTCTGATTCAGTACAACCAGAGAAGCATTTGACTTCCACTCCAAACTCTAGGGACAACAAACAAACAAACAAACAAAAACAGAAGGAAGAAACGGCGTGTAGGACATCCACCACCAAATCCCAATCTGGGTCTAAACACCTTCAACTTTACCTCTGGATTTCACTCTTCTCTGCCCTGGTAATGAGTATCCTCACCTGATACTTGATGATGGCCTCTCGATAGCGTTCTACTTCATAACCCTCAGCATTGTAGTACTTCACCTGGGGGATTCACATAGCACAGAATTGTGGGATCATTTCCTCCAGAGTCCTGATCCTTTCTCCCCAGTATCTAATTTTATTTTATTTTTATTTCTTGGCTTTTCGAGGCAAGGCTTCTCTGTGTAGTCCTGGCTATCCTGGAACTTACTCTGTAGACCAGACTGGCCTTGGACTCACGGTGATCCACCTGCCTCTGCCTCCTGAGTGCTGGGATTAAAGGTGTCTGCCACCACCACCTGGTATTCTTCCCAATTTCTAATATCCCCTCCAGATCCTTTATCATTTTATGGTCCCAGACATGCTCCCCCACCTCTCCTTGCTTCCCACCACCATCTTGGGGCTTCTGTTACCGTCTCAAAGTTTAGCAGAGAGTCCACTGCTCGTGCCCTGGTGATATTTTCCTGTGTGTTCATGCTACGGCGAAACTTGGCTCTCCATTCAGTGACCACAATAGTCAGTACTAGAGGAGGATGATGGGGCGGGAGGGGGGGAGGAAGGACAAGACATCATCCCCAACAGCTGAGACCAAATATAAATGTCCATGCTCTGTGCCACACCTATCAAACCTATGCCAGCACCCAGGGACCCAGACCCAGAGAGAGCTCTTCACCAAGGAAAGGAGTTGCATGCAAGGTATCTTCGTAGTCTTGTAAAGTTTCATGTAGAAAATGCTTCTGATGAGTACTTGAAAAGAAGATGCATTGTGCTACAGAGTTTTTCCCTGACCGGTCACACAGTGAGGACCCACAGTGAATATGTCACAGAATGTGACATATTCATGCCTTTCCCTGGTTTTCATCTAGGTTGAACTAAGATTCAACCTCAACAGGGGGGTAGACCTTCCCATTGTACCAGGAGTGAACAGAGCCTAATCAAGCCTGCCAGTCCTTAAGGTGAGTGGGGATAGGGTTCATGACCAAGGAACACACTACACAGCTCAGGGAGACAGTTTCCCAGGCAGCACTCACTGAGGTAAAGGCTCATGCACAGGAACACAATGAGGCCAAACCAGGCATTGAAGAACATGCTGAAGTAGATGATGCCAATAATGATGTCAGCCAAGGTGGGGATGATGTTGAACACTAGGTAGCTAGAAGAGTAAGTCAAGTGAGGAAAAGGTTTGAGGATTTAGATAGACCCATCAATCTTATCTCTATGAACTTATCTTAGTGTAGTGTTTCATTTTCAACAGCAAAAAAAATCTAACTACCTTTCAAGAGGTAGCTAGATGGCTAATACGGTCTGGTGGCAAAGACCTGTAAATCTAGTCCTCTACAGATTAAGGCAGGAAGACTAAGAGTTTAAGGCTAGCCTGCCTGGGTAAAGATAGGGCTGGGGATATGGACAGAGTGTTTCCCTAGCATATGCCAGGTTATAGGTGGTTCAGTCTTCAGTATTGTATCTCTCTCTCTCTCTCTCTCTCTCTCTCTCTCTCTCTCTCTCTCTCTCACACACACACACACACACACACACACACCAAAAAATAAAAATCCAAAACAACAACCAAAAAAAATCCTCTATCAATTACAAATAAGAGAGATCTTTGTGCATGGATGAA